CACAGCACGGTATTTCCAAACTACCCCTTCCTGCTCAACTGAGGCATCAGGAAACCCCCCCTCCTGCAATTGCTCTGAGTGTGGGGGTGCCCCTTGAACCACAGAAGGGGGAGAATCAGCTGTGCTATTTACAGTCAACTCATCTTGTCAGGGAGGATTTTTGTGAGCTCCTTCTGTTCCCTGAAAGATGGTGCAATAATGTTCAATTTGAGCCTTCCATTTCCCAACAGAAGCTGGCTGGGCCATACTGTCAGGGGGTGGGGTTCCTGTCAAAACAGGCATGATGGCCTTAAAGGGTCCTCTTAAAATCAGAGACTGCTGAGGGACAATTTTTCCTGCTTCCCAAAAAGCAGTGCTCTCCATAAATAAGCCCTTTTCCCCGGGAGAATATCGTTTTTGGGCATCTTTGACACTGCATGAATAAAACCCTACAGGCCTGGTGGGAAAGAGGATGGTCGTGTCCCAGTGTGGATGTGCTGGTGTCGGATCATGTTGGAGCTATGGCTGAAGCCTCATAATAGTGCAGGCCTCATAGAGCCCAAACACCTCATAAAAGAGCTCTCATCATGAAAGCTCTGTCTTCATAACACCCTTATATGTCATAATGGTGCTCTCCTCATAAGCCCATAAACCTCATAAAGGGGCCATCCTAAAGTGTCTCTCCTCATAAAGTCTCTCTCCTAAACCCCATCCACCTCACAATGGGGCAGCCTCAGAAGGTCTCTGTGCTCATAGAACCCATCCACCCCAGAATGGTGCAGCCTCAGAAAGGCACTGTCCTCATAACCGTCACACACCTCAGAACGCTGCAGGCCTCATAAGGCCCCTGTCCTCATAAGGCCCATAAACCTCCTCATGGGGCTGTCGTCATAAAGGAGATGTTCTCATAAATGCCATAAACCTCATAAAGGTTCTGACCTCATAAAGCCTTTGCACCTCAGAGGGACAAACATTATAAAGGCTCTGCCCTTATAAACACCATAAATATCATAACAGCACTGTCCTCACAAAGCCCATACACCTCATGATAGAGCTCTCGTCATAAAAGATCTCTCTGCATAAAGCCCATGCAGGTCATGAAGGTGCTGTCCTCAGAAAGCCCATACACCTCATAAGAGGCTCTCCTCATAAAGGCCATGTCCTCATAAACCCCATAAACTTTGCTGCCTAAAAGGCTGCAGAGGGAAAAAGACTTCAGGCCCAAATTGGTAGGGGGTCAGAGAAGCAGCAGAAGTTTCCATGAGCCTGCAGGCTCCAGGAATACAAGCCCACACTCGTCCCTTCCAGCACAGGGGTTACAGTTTTTAAATTGATTTTCACCCAATGCCCGTCCCGTCCCCGCCCCGGTTCTGCCCCGTTCTGCCCCAGGAACGCCCGTGGGGAATTGAGTCTGGGGGAGTTTGAGCTTTGAGCGGCTGCAACTACAACTCCCGGCGTGCCCCGCGCGGCAAAGGGGGCGGGGCGGGGCCTCTGCCGGCGGGGCGCGCGCACAGCCCCGCGGTGGCTGCCGGGAAAGTAATGGCGGCGATGGCAGAATCTCCTCAGCTCTGTGAGACCTGTCGGGGACTGCGGCGGGGTTGGGGATGCGCTCGGGGGCTGCAGGGAGCGCGGTTGTGGGTGGGAAGGCTGGAGGGCTCGGCAGAGAGGAGAGGAGGGGTTCGGGGGTTCCCGAAGAGGTTTCGAGATCTGTGAGGGGCTCTCGGGGAGTCGCGAAGGGGATTTGGTGTCCTGAGGGCACTCAGAGGGGAGGGCGAAGGTGCCTGAAGGGGTTTAGGAGTTCCTTGAAAGGGCTGGGGGCCTTGGAACCCTGTCGGGGGTAGGCGGGGGGGTGTTTAAACGCCATGGCTGCACTGCGCAGGCGCCCGCGGAGTTTCGACGAGGGAACTTTAACTCCCACAAGGCACCGCGCGGTGCCGCCATTGCCGCTCGTGCTACAGCGGACCCTGTCGGCCTGACGGACCGACGAGGGAAAGCGGTTACGAATGACCCCCCGAACCGCAGAGACCACCAAAACTCAGTACACAGAGACTCCACAAGGATAGGGGCCTGGAAGTCTTCTAAAGCGCAGCAGTGGGGTTCAGGGTGTCCCCAGGCCCTTAGGAGAGGATCCGGGTAAAGGGGGTCCGGTGCCCCCAGGATAGCCCAGTGACCTTCCAGTGACGCTCAGTACAGCCCCGTAACTCCCCCAGTGACCACTCAGTGTGTCCTAGTGACCTTCCTCTGCCCCCCAGTATGGCCCAGTGATCCTCCAATGAGCACCCAGTCACCCCCAGTATTGCCCAGTAACCTCCCAGTGTCCCCCCCTAGGTGTCCTTGTAATCTCCCAGTAACTCCCCAGTCCCTCTCAGTACCCTCCTAGCATCCCTCAATAACCCCCTAGTCCTTCCCAATGTCCCCTGGTTCCCCCCAGTGTGTCCCAGTATCCCCCAGTAATCACCCAGTGCCCTCCAAAGGCTCCCAAGTGTCCCCAACGTGTCCCCAGATGCCCTTGACCTTTCTGTGAGTGTGGGGGGATGGGGCCATTTTGAGGGTCAGAGGGTCTAGGGGGGCCTTCTGGGGGGAGATGGAAGGTTGGGGACATCAGGGATGGGGTTTGAGGACAGTGGGGAGGGGGCCATTTTGGGGACAATGGAATGGGAGGTTTCATGGGGGGAACTGGGGCCATGGGGAGGCCCTGGAGACCTGGGGGGACCACCCCCTGGACCACCAGAGGGGGTCTCGGGGTGCCAAATGGGAAGTTGAGTACACCAGGAGGGTCTTGGGGACACCAGGGGGGTCTCAGGACTCACCTGCTCATGGTGCTTCCCCTCCTTTCACCCCCAGGCCCCAATAAGGCCCCCCAAATGTCTCCTAATCCCCATTTTAACTTCAGTCACCTTCCCACCAGATCCCTTTTACCCCCCAATGCTCCCAAGACCTCTTTTAACTCCCCCAAATGCACCCAGAGGCCCCCAAAACCAATGCCCCAAATCCCAATCAAACCCCTCACAAAGAGGAATCACCCAGCACCCTGGGACAGGAACACAGTGGGCTGTGCTGGGGGCACTGAGCTGTACTGGGAGAGCCCTCATCCCCAAAGCCCCTCCCCTGGGCATCCGTGCCACGCTCTGGGAACCACGGCGGGGTTGGATCAAGGGGTGCACTTGATGATCTGGGAGGTCTTTTCCAAGCCAGCTGATTCTGGGATTCTCTGGGTGCCATTGCCAGGGCAGCACATGCTGGAGGCTCTGTCCGCAGGGGATAGATGTGTCTGTGCAGACAGAGAGACAAGGGCAGTCTGCAAAGATGTGGGATTAGAAGACCAGGAGA